TGTATGAAGTTTTTAAAGTCATTGATAGTATGCCCTAAATACTGACTTTGCATTTGTATTTTAGGAAAATTTGTTAGCAAAAAAACTAATACTTTTATAAATCTTAAATCACTTAGTTAAATGCTTTGGTGGAATTTATAGAGTATAGAGCAGATAATCAAAGCAAAAGATACGATATGGAAATGACCCAGGAGCTGACTAGAACATATCAAGAGTGAATAAGGTGATAAAGAAGATAAAACAATGATGTTTATAAGGAAATGATGTTTGTGTTGAAAACTAAAAGGGAAGAAGAAATAAGTCATACCAAATATTTGGAAGGTAGAGAGAAGATAAGATTGCCCATGGAGAGAATACATGCAAATGTACTGGAGTGAGGCCAGGGTTTTTTGAACCCAGCAAATTCTCAAGTAACATGATGAAGTAAGGAAAAGAAATTCTTCTGTTACTATTTATTTGGGATTATGGAATTTCCCCTGGTTTCTACTATGAGTATTTGGAGTAGCAAGGGGTCCCTGTGAGTGTAGTAAAAGGAAATAGTGATTTATGAAATACAAGCAGTAGAAATTCACATTGGCGATAATATCAACAGTTAAAAAAAAAATCAGTGCATGGAAGTTTTTAATGAAAAATATTCAGAAGTTTCAATTTTGCTGGCATATGTCTTGAAAGATTTATTTTGACATGTAAAGTAACCTGCATTTGATTTATTATACCTATAAAGTAAAAAATAAACCAAAATTTGTATCAAAAAATATTAATGAAACTGTTACAAAGGCATGAAACAAAAAATTTTAAAGCATTCCATGCATAAAAATAAATGAGCTTTTATTTTTTAAATTCAACTTTTTCCCTTTCAGAGAAAAAATGTTTATATTCACATATATCACACACATATGCATATATACACACCTATATAAATACATATGTATGTATATATACATATATACTGTCTTTATGATGACAAACAACAGTGGATCGAAGATATCTGAATGATATCACAAGCATATCTCCATATGCTTGCTCTTATACAGTCCTGGGAAAGAACAATGACAATATCACACACACACACACTTAGAATTTTACTGAATGCATGGAAATATGAAAAACCTGGTTTAAAAATTAAAATTTCATAAACTTTTAGTGATAAATATTAGAATGTATAGCAAAATTCAAATAAATAGACTTATGTAACTGAAAGCACTCTCATCTACTCAGTATTTTTTTTTCTGTAATAGTTTTTTTTTTATTAAAGATTTATTTATTTGTACATACAGAACTGGGGTACAGGCCAGAGGCTCAGGGGTGGTGAGAGGCTTCACCAGAGACAGAGCAGGGAACAGAACAGGCAGATCCACGAAGTACACTGCTGAGGGGAGCAGCAGGCGGGTCAGGAGAGGTCTGCCACGCTGTGTGGTCACCTCCGGGGCAGGCAGGAATCGAACTCACGTGGAAGTGGCCTTAGCTTCTCAGTGCAGTGCTTTAACCCGCTGTGCCACCAGGGAGGGCCACTGTAATAGTTTTCATTACAAACTTGTTGCATGCTTATAATACCAAAAAATGCAAATCATGCAGAAAAACTGTAAAGATGGGAGTATAGTGGATAATCAAATTTACAACGTGGATATTCAGATTCAGAAGAGCTAAGGCAGGAAATTTGCAATATGTGTTTGATAAATCCACCCTATCGCATGGTTGAATGTGCACAGGCATACTTAAGAGTAAACTGGTTTCATCAGTATGACTGTGCTAAGGAATAATCACTTCAAAAGACTGTTACACTCACATGGATGCATTTAACTAGAAGTTCAATTATGCTTGTTCTCAACCCACTCAACTGTAGGGTCAGTTTTCTTGAATCCTTATCAATCTCTGCCTAGGCATTTGCATATGGGCAGTTCCATAGAATGCTCTAAGTAGTGGTCAGTCTTTAAGATCCTTGATAGCCCATCTAGAAATGAGAATTCTAGAGAAACAGCTGATGTTGAATGAGAGAAGTTATTTTTTTCTCTTTTAAAGACATATCTGGAAACAGTCCCAGATTCTACATCAGCCCCATTAATTTAGACCTCAGCTGGGAAATCTCTAGCAAATAAAAACTTTATTTATTTAAAATGCAGGGGCTCATTATTTTTTTCTTTCTGGAAAACATCTGTTTTTAGTTCTTTTCAGCTCATATTAAATAAAAGCCTGGGAGCAGCTTCTGTAGATCTGGATGTAAGTTACATGGTTAGAGCTGTTATTACATATCTAGCAGTTATTTTACACACACACACACATACACACACACATCTATCTATATACTGTTTCAGCTGTGTGTCAGGTATGTACTAAGTGTGCAATAAGCATTCTCTTAACCTCATGCAAAGATATTATATGAGTATTAGCATTAACTCCATTTTGAAAATGAATGAGATTAAATAATTTGCTTAAGTTCATAAAGTAAGCAACAGAGGAAACACATAAATCCACAAAGCAGACCTGGTTCTTCCTCACTCCCAAGAATAGGTTCTTGATTTCTTTGCTTTGTTTTATCTTTCTGTAGCTAACTAGGCACCCTTAACTAAATATAAAACAAAATCTGTCACCGATACTTTAATGTGGAGACAAACTATTTCATTATTGTTTTGGCACCCAATAGGCTGTTACTGTAAAAGAATAACTTGTGCACCTCCCTGGTGGTGCAGTGGGTTAGGATGCAGCACTGCAAGCAAGCCACAGCCGGCTTCAGTACAAGTTCCATCCCTGGCCCACATGGTGTGGCAGACCTCTCCTGACCCGCCCCCTGCTCCCCTCAGCAGTGTACTTCATTGATCTGCCTGTTCTGCTCCCGACTCAGTCTCTGGTGAATCTTCTCATCACCCCTGCACCTCTGGCACCTAGTTCTGTATGAATTAAAAAAAAAAAAAACTCTTAAAAAAGAAAAAAAAATAACTTGTGCAATTCTTAAAAGTAATGAAGTAATGTTCCTTGGAAGCAAGACTCCCTTATCTTCCTGTTCTGTGAAATAATAATGTCAGTAATACAGGTGCATTGTGCTTGGATCTTGTGATAATTAGGATAAGGTGTCATACACAAGCAAACCTAGTGATTGACTACATTATCTCCCTTCCCTTGAAGAAATTGTAACAGGGTGAATTTGTCTAAAAAGGGCTTTTTTTTTTCTGGAAAAGGCACTTATACAGAAATACTTAAAATAGCAGTAAATGTCCATTGTGAAAATTCTATTAGGATGGCACTGAGCAAGCCAACCATTCCCCATAAACTAGTAGACAGAGTTGAAAATCTGTCAGCTTTTTTTTTTTATTTCTTAAGTGAGAAATATTTGGGTCACAGGTTAAGAGATGTATTAGACGGAGCTCACCAATGAATGCTTAGGAGAAATGGTAAATAGAGGCCCAACAGGGATTTTCCTAGTAGAACTGGCCTCTACTTAAATGGGGGCCCTTCTTTTTGATTGTTGGATGAGGTTTTCTCTAGCCCATCATATACTCTACTCTGTGGGTGTCCTGTGAAAATTAAAAAAATTTTAAAGTTCCCATGGTAGCTGCAAGATGTAATACATCAGCTAGGTTGGATTTTATGTAGATGTGTGGCTCAGTTTTACTGTTTCTTATTTTAAATCTTGTAAAAGAGATTACTAAGTTGATCATGGTAGTGGCGATTACTTTTTAACCTTCTTATCCCATCCTCATTCTTAAATCAGATTGATTACATTTTTATTCTGCCATAAATAATCATCTATTCAACTGAACTATAAAACACATGTACATTTATATATGTATATCAGTATTTGCATAGGTGTGCATATCTTGATAATGAAGTATCATTGAAGAAAGGTGATCATAATTAGAATATATACTCAGAATAATGTGGCAGTGATTTTATTTTTGATAATTATTCACACTATTCCATATATTTGCAGAAATAAAGTGCAAGTGGTGGAAAACTTCTTACTTTACATTTGTATTTTTTATTTAACCATTAACCACAGAAGTAACCATTATCACCTAGGGCTAATAAAAATGAAAATTGCAACTTGTGCAAGGTTTTGGGTTGCCTCTAGATCTGGAAGATAAAACCACATCAAACATGATGGGGAAGGGATTGGATGTTAGGGCAGAGAGGGGAAAACTATAGGAATTTCATTGTCCTTCCAAAGTCAGCCTTAGCTTCTCATCAGATTGTAGAGGGTTTTTTGAACAGGTTGGGGCATAGAAAACTAAATAACAATGTATTATGTGACCTTTTGATCACTCAAAATAGGTAGTTTCATTTTTATGACTGTAGCACATAACCATCAATATGAGTTTAAGGTTAGTATTGTTGCTATAATAAAGAGTAGTTTGAAGTCTGCAACTACATTTTTTCTGCATAGTACTAGGTTCTTAACAATGGAAGATAAATGAACCGCCCTTGCCTTCAGTGCAAGTGAAGGGGAAAAATACACATACACACACCCTGGGGGAAGAAAAGGCAGCAAGACTGAGCTTTCCTTAGTTCAATTGAGAGGGGAGAGGCTTGTCTGGCGGTTTGTGGGAGTGAATCTAATTATCAGTCTCTTACTTTCATTAATAGGTTGGAACAAGTTAACTTCTCAAAGGAAGAAGACACTATGCCTGAATGCTTAGTCTATGTTATGATCATTGAAGGCTTACTTTTACAAAGATAGTTTTTTTTTTTTGAAGTTCTTCATAAGGCCAGGCAAATAGGTAGGTAGAACATCAACTATAGAAAAAGCATATATAACTGGTAAGACATAGTTTATTTATAGATGGAAGAATAGAACATTATGGAAAACTGGAGAGTATAATTTAAGAGGTTTTAATTTGCATCGATGCATTTTAACATATCTACATGTAATGTTGGTGTGTGTGTTTATGGGCTTATGGGTTATCAAGGGATAACCTTTACTGTAATTCATCTATGGGTAAAAATGAACTGGGGTGTTGTCTAGTTGTTTCTTAACCATTCTTTTTATTTTTTTTTAATTTACCTAGCCTCACTAGCCAAAAATCTGATGATGACTATGAAGATTATGCTTCTAACAAGACATGGGTCTTGACTCCAAAAGTCCCTGAGGGTGATGTCACAGTCATATTAAACAACCTTCTGGAAGGATATGACAACAAGCTTCGACCTGATATAGGAGGTACGTTAAAGCTTTTGTGGTATGGTAGAGATGAAACATAAAATAACTGCCACGTTAGAAGAAAACATCAGTGCATTTTAAAGAATAGAAAGATTCAAATGGCATTTTTATTATATTTTGGAAAAATTGATAATGTATAAGTAGCATTTAAGCCTAGCATTTGACAAATGCAAAATGAAAAAAAAAAAAAAGACAAGTGAAACAGGAGAGCTAGGAACACATACTTTCCTAGTTGTGGACATGTCAGACAAGACTGTAGAAAAAAGTGACAACTTCTTTCTGAAGTAACAGAAAAACAAACAAATAATAGCAAGGAAAATAAATACTGGTATATATTGCCATAACAATCAACCACAAAATCTCATAGCCATACAAAAATATTTATTAACATTTTGCTGGGAGTGATCTAAACTAAGCCAGCCTGGGGCTTCATTCTTTGGGAAAGCGGGATTTTCATCCTACAAAAGGAACCTTCTCATGACAACAGCAAAAAGCAAGAAATATTTTTATAGGCATCACACCTGGGATTAGAACTAACACACTCACTTCTGTCTGTATGTTATTAACCAATGCAAGTCAAGTGGTCAAGTCCAAAAATTCAAAGGCAGAGAAATTGCTTCTTTGAGGTGAAGGCAGTGATGCAAATTCAGGAACTAGTGAAGAAGTCAGTCCACTGCAGAGAAGTAGGTCATGGCACTTTTATATATATATATATATAATATAGTAGTTTATTTTTACATCATTTTGTGCCTTTTTGCATCTCAGTTGTAATCCCCATGAGCTTCCCATCACCAAATCACCTGTGTGCGATCACCATAGTCCAGTGCACTTCCCCCCAGCCCCCTTTTTTATCCTATTCCCCACTCCATCCCCATAAAATGTCTCTGGTATATAGTTGTTCATTATTATTATTATTATCCCCTCTGATCCCCCTCACATGCTCCTGCTATGAGTGAAACTATCTGGTATTTTTCTTTATCTTTCTGACTTATTTCACTAAGCTCCATCCATGTTGCTGCAAAAGGCATGTGTTTTATCTTTTTTGATTGCTGAGTAATAGTCCATTGTGTATCTGTACCACATCTTTTTAATCCGGTTATCTACTTTTGGGTATTTGGGTTGATTCCATGTCTTTCCTATTGTGAATAAAACAGCAGTAAACATGGGGGTGCAAATATCTTTTGAATCAGCATTTTTGTGTCTTTTGGATAGATACTTAGGAGTGGGACCTCTAAGTCATAGGGAAGCTCCATTTTTAGCAGTTTTAGAAACCTCCAAACAGTTTTCCATAATGGTTGCACTAGTTTGCATTCCTACTAGCAGTTTAGGAGAGTTCCTTTTTCTCCACATCCTCGCCAACATTTGTTGTTGCTAGTTGTTTTAAGATGTGACATGGCACTTTTTTTTTTTAATTTATTTACTTATTCATACAGAACTGGGGGTACAGGCCATAGATGCGGAGGGTGAGAGGATTCACCAGAGACAGAGTGGGAAGCAGAACAGGCAGATCGTCGAAGTACACTGCTGAGGGGAGCCGTGGGCGGGTCAGGAGGGGTCTGCCGCGCCATGTGGATCTCCTCCAGGGCAGGCGGGGATTGAACTCATGCGAAAGTGACTTAAGTTTCTTAATGCAGTGCTTTAATCCGCTGCGCCACCAGGGAGGGCCCCATGGCACTTTTTTTTTAAAAAAAAAGATTTGTTTATGCATACAAAACTGGGGCACAGGCCAGAGATGTAGGTTTAGTGAGAAGATTCACCAGAGACAGAGTGGGGTAAGAACAGGCAGATAAACAAAGTACACTGCTGAGGGGAGCAGGACAGGAGAGGACTGCTGGACCATGTGGATCACCTCTGGGTCTGGGGATGGAATCTGCACTGAAGCAGCTGCAGCTAGCTTGCAGTGCCACATCGCAACCCATTGCGCCACCAGGGAGTGGCAGGGCATAACACTTTTAAAGGATATAGGTAAAAGGAGACAAATGTACTTGTTGAATTTCAGCCCAGAATGATAATATGAATCCTTGTTCATTACACTTGATTTTAGCCAAAAGGCTGAAAAACAATGAATCCTTGTTCATTAAGCATTAGATGAAAATGAATCACATGCATCTGCCCATAGATATAATACTACAGATTTGTAATATCAGTCCTCTTTGATAAATCGGTATATATTGGGTTTCCCTATGGTTTCCTCATATTATTTCAGACACAAAATCCATTAAGCCATTAAGTTAGATTGATTTTTGTGCAGTAGAAATATATAAGGATAAAGTAGTCATAAAAGAAACCAAAAGAGAGTGATATTTCCAAAATTTTTCATAGCACACACTGGCCTTTATGCATACTTCATGTTTCTTATGCATTTTTTTTCTCTGGCTCACCACTAACTACTTATTTTCCTCATGAATCAGATTACAATGCCCCAATATATTCCAGGTCTTGAAGGGAAAATGGCAAACCTCAACATACGAATAAGAAATACAAAGTTAAGCAATGTTGTCTGATTTAATCATTTTTAATAGTCTTTTTTTTTTAAGTTTTTTTTTTTTTTTTTAAGATTTATGCATACAGAACTGGGGTCTGTAGACCCCAGACGTGTAGAAGTGGTGAGAGGCTTCACCAGAGACAGAATTGGGAGCAGTACAGGCAGATCAACGAAGTACACTGCTGAGGGGAGCATCAGGCTCCTGTGCCATGTGGGTCACCTCCCACATGGGGATTGAACTTGCACTGAGGTGGCTGCAGTTAGTTTGCAGTGCTGCATCTGAACACATTGTGCTACCAGGGAGGGCCCCACTTTTATATGGTCTTAAGACAATTAGTTTTTAACATTATGATATATTAAAGGAGATATTCCTTTGAAAATGTTATTGAAATGCAGTGAATTAGTTATTGACACCAAATTAGTTGTGAATAAATCACTGTTAATGCAGCAAAATAAATATTTCTAGAATAACAAAGACTAAAATAGTCTGCTTTTCCATATGCAAATTACTCTCTGGTTTTCTTTACAGTGAAACCAACATTGATTCACACAGATATGTATGTCAATAGCATTGGTCCAGTGAATGCTATCAATATGGTAAGTTTCTGATCATTTGTCTGTTTTATTATGCATTAGTGGAGAAATGTAGTGTCATAGGAAAAAAAATCCATAAGGGGTTCAGAATTTTTTATTGGTTTACATCCTTGTTAGTATTTTGCAAGTAGAGAATTTGTCCCCTCAGATACAGTAACTGTAGCCTGCTCACCACCAAAGCACCCATTGCCCTCCACTATAGTCCATTGTGGTCTCTCCCTATTCTGTTCTCACTCTTCTGCGTCCCTTTCCATTACCCTCTGGATACCTCAGCTCTATGGTCAGCTTTCAAGAGTTGGTTTTAAAATTTGTTTGGTTTCTTTGTGTTCCTCATATAGGTGACACCATTTCTCTCTCCCTCTCCCTCCCTCTCCCTCCCTCTCCCTCCCTCTC